AAACTCATGCTTAGAATCAATACTGAAGCAAGAAATCAGGAACAATGAGGGCATCTTTGAAGATTCGACATCAAATATTGGGCCATTTTTTTAGATTTAACATCAAATGTTGGGATATTTTTTGAGATTCAACATCGAATATTGGGGCATCTTTGGGAATTCAACATCCTGATGCAAATTATCAGACCTTTTGAAGGCATTTCCTCCATATACAGGAACAAGCACACAAAGCAGAAGACTCCATCCAGGGGATAAAACAGAACTAATTCATGTTCCATGCATCTTAGACATACTTAAGAGCATCGCATTTATCATTTTTTGTATACATAAGTTTTTGCAGCTTTTAGAGTCAAGTTTCAACTTCAAGATGAAGGATGCTCGATTCAAAAGCACATGGTGGTTGCTCTACCTCACAGCGAAGGGACGACTGTCTGATAACAAAACAACTTTGCAGTTTCAGTCAGAGTCAATTTCAACTTCACGGCGAAGGATATTGAACTCAAAGTGACACAATTCGCTCGAGAGTAGATTTTAACTTCATGACGAAAGATATCTAGCTCAAAGTCAAACTTCACAATAAATGGGTCATCCACGGTTTTGACTTCATGGCGAAGGGAATCGTGTCTACCCGCAACATACAATACATGGATTTCAACTTCACAACGAAGGATATCCAAGTCAAGGCTCAACTTAACGACGTAAGGGCCACCTACGATTTCAACTCCACGATGGAGGATATCGTGCCACTCGAGACAACACAAGTTCAACTCCACAACGAAGGGACGGCTGTTTGTCAACAAATAATTTCCCAATTTCAGAGCCAATTTCAACTTCACAGCGAAGGATATTGGACTCGAGACAACAAAAGTTCAACTTCACAACGAAGGGACGGCTGGTTGTCAACAAACAATTTCCCAATTTCGGAGCCAATTTCAACTTCACAGTGAATGATATTGGACTAGAGATAGCACAAGCTCAACTTCACAGCAAAGGGGTGGTTGACTGTCAACAAACAATTTCTTAGTTCCAGAGCCAATTTTAACTTAACGGCGGAGGATATTGGACTCGAAACAATACAACTTACTTGGATTTCAACTTCACGATGATGGATATCTAATTCCAAGGCTCAACTTCACAATCATTCACGGTTTCAACTTCACGACGAAGGGAATCATGCTCACCATTGTCTCTCTTGAGTCAGTGTCCAAGTTTTCCTTGAAACAAAATATTTAAATATGTTTTCATTGAAACTAATTTCGTCTCCCTTGAGACATTTTCTTTTGGAACTAAATTTTTTCTCCCTTGAGACAGTTTCTCTTGAAACATAAACATTGAAAACATTTCCCTTGAAATTAATTTTGTCTCTCTTGAGATAGTTTTTCTTGAAACAAAATCTTTAAATCTGTTTCCCTTGAAACAAATTTCGTCTCCCTTTGAGACATTTTCTTTTGGAACTAAGTTTTGTCTCTCTTGAGATAGTTTCTCTTGAAACATAAACAGTGAAAGCATTTCCCTTGAAATGAATTTTGTCTCTCTTGAGATAGTTTCTCTTGAAACAAAATCTTTGAATCTGTTTCCCTTGAAACAAATTTCATCTCCCTTGAGACATTTTCTTTTGGAACTAAGTTTTGTCTCCCTTGAGATAGTTTCTCTTGAAACATAAACATTGAAAACATTTCCATTGAGATGATTTTTTTCTCTCTTGAGATAGGTTCCCTTGAAACAAAATTTTGTCTCCCTTGAGACAGTTTATCTTGAAACATAAACATTGAAAACATTTCCCTTGAAATGAATTTTGTCACTCATGAGATTGTTTCCCTTGAAACAAATTTTGTCTCCCTTAAGACAGTTTCTCTTGAAGAATAAACTTTGAAAACAATTTCCTTTGAAACAAAATCTTTGAATATGTTTTACGTTAAACAAATCTCGTCTCCCTCGAGACAGTGTCTTTTGGAAGTTTTTGTCTCTTTTGAGACAGTTTCTCTTGAAACAAATTTTGTCTCTCTTGAGACAGTTTCCCTTGAAACTTCAATCTTTGAATACAGTTTCTCTTGAAACACAAAAAACCTTTGAAATTGTTTCTCTTGAAACACAAAAAAACCTTTGAAAATGTTTCTCTTGAAACACCAAACCCTCGAGTTCAATTACACTCAGCTTCGAGGGAACATCATTTACAACATAACTCAAGGCTATAAGGGTTATCTGTCACCAAAAGACCTTCGAGTTCGACTATGCTCAGCTCTAAGGCACATCATTTACAGTATAGCTCATGGCAAGAAGGGCTATCTGTCAATAAAATTGTCGAGTTCGATTCCATTCAGCTCGATGACACCTCAATCACACTATTGTCCAACTGCAATCGAGGTTTTTCAAGCCGAGAAGAATGTCTAGGTTAGCCGTGCCTTAGTAGCAAGAAGCTTTTTTTCCGTCAGCATAGCTTAAGTCGAGAAAAGCTATCTGTCAGCAAAGACTTTCCGAGTTCGGTTTCATTCAGCTCGAGGGCATATCAACCACATTGTGGAGTCAAGAGATTACTTTCCAGTCGAATTTTTAGCCAAGGTCTTTAAACCGAGAAGAAGACCAAAGTGGACTACAACAAGAAGCCACATTTTGATTCAAATCATTTCAAGATGGACTCGACTTCGCGACGGAGGAGCCATCCGCAATTCAATTAGATAAGGAGTTATTCTTCAACTCCATTAAACGAAAATTTGTGTCTTTTTATCTTTGTCCTTTTTCGTGTCCTATTTTTTGTTCCACGAAAAAGGACAAAGAGGGGCAGCTGTAGACACCCATTTTCTTAAAAGATAGAACTAGCAAGAGTTTCTCTCCTAGGAGGACTCTTCCACCACCATATCTTTTAAAGCAACAACCACACCAACAAACGTGCAACAACCGAGCAAGGAGTCTACTTGCATTAGGATTCTATTGTTAATAGGATTCTAAAAATAGTTAGTTTTTTTTCACTTTGAATACATGTAATCATCCCCATTTGTAAGACACGATTTACATTCAAAATACAGAGGAAAGCACGAAAAATATAAAGGCAAAGCTATTGTAAACGATTCGAAAATGAAATAAAAGGTAACATCTTTTTTTACTTTTGATTCGGTCTCTTACATTTACGTTTTAATTATTATTATTTTATTTATTTAACTTTATTTATACGCACATTTCCCTTGTTACTCATTTTATTTAATTGTTTTGTTATTTTTCTTTTCTTTTTTTTCATGTAATATTGTTTTACATTTTATGCATTTTCTTTTTTACTTTAGTATATATTTTATTTTTTTGATTATATATATATATATATATATATATATTATTTTATTATCAATTTTATTAATTTATCTATATATATATTTACTATTTTTTTTATTTTTTTATTATATATATATATATATATTATTTTTACTTTTTTATTATTATTTTAATTATTTGTTTTATTTATTTATTTTTTTCTTCTTTTTCTTTATTTTTTATATTTATTTTACTTACTATTTTATCTTTGCTTTCTTTATCTTAACTTTTATTTAATTTTTTCTTCATTTTAATTTAATTAATTAATTTTATTTCTTACCTTTTTATCTAACATAGTTTTTTGACCTTCTTAAGGCAACACTTTTAAAACTATATAAGGTAAGTAATTGTGATCGTATTTTTACCTTTTAATTTTAAATTACAATTTTCTTAATTTAAGACAACCGGAAAATTAATTGGTACCGAAAGGGCGGTTCAAGGGTGCTAATCCTTCCTTGACCGTAACAGACTCCCGAACCCGACACATTTCTGGTAAAAACGCAGATCAGTTAAGATGTTGTCCGACCCACCTAAATTCGTTTTAAAGTAGTCGGTGGCGACTCTCAACCCAATTATTTCAAGTTAAAGCCCAATTCAGGGCCCAACCAAAAGATGGTTACGACATTATTACTATAATAGCACCCATTATATTTGCAATCGCGATATACACAAGTAACTGAAAACATGATAGCAACCACTATTTTAATCCCTAGTGACTAGTGATTGGCTTGTAATTTTCTTCTTTGGTTTTACTATCCTTGTATGTGGTACTCAAGGGTTGCACCATAGGTAAATTTCCACTGTTTCTGTCGTGAAATTCTGCAGTAAATATATGTGTTAGAAGACTCAACCCCAATCATTAACGGAATAATTAGACAAAAGTTTGAAAAGATCAGAATATTCAAGCCTGACAGCTTCTTGTCTATGAAGAATACCACTAAATTAACCGTATACCTGCAGAAAATATCTTACAATTGTCAAACTAAATCAAAACAAAATATAAAAGGTCCTAACAGTAAATTGAAATTTCAAGAGTGTACTCAATACCATGCAACAACCACGTCATGCCATAATCAAGAGACTTTGAACAATAGCTACCAACCTAGAAAAGTGCTTTATACAGCTGTGATTATACAAACAATACCACCAGCAATCTACCAATTAGTTACTCGTATGTATGTCAATGTAGCAAGCAAGAACGCATTGCCTATTAACAGAAGATCATGTGTGATGAAGAAATCAAGTCACCGCAACCATATAATACACCATGAGGAACTGCAAATTAGTGGAGCCAATGAGCCAAAACATTCATGATAAAGACGCATCTATATCTTTGAATTCAATAAATTGAAATTTTCAATAATACAAAATATAATACATACTATTAATTAAGAAAACTTCTAAAGCACCATGTGGTTTAGGGAACCTGCCATGCTCTGAACCCTGCCAAAAGAAACACAATTTTTTACCAAATGATCTTAAAATTACAGAACTTATCAATATTCAGTATTCAACTTGAGCAATAAGTTCAGTTTTATTAGACAAATTACTATTGAAAATGGTAATCCTAGAGCTTGGGTGCACATGTATAATAATAGAAGTAAGCACAACTTTGAGCGCTCAAAACCCACCTCGAAAAGATAACAAAGAGGATAGGTTATCTAGATGTATAAATAATAAGCTCGAGACACAATTGGAACTTACTTACCTGGACGGGGTCGATGGGTGATTAGTAAGGCCCATGGCCTGGGCTGGTGGCTTTCATTGCATTTTGAAGGTGCACTCGCCTAAGGTCTCCTCAAGTAGGAGAGCCTACGTCGTTATTTGTGGCAGTGGGGCCCTGCATTCGCGCGACTCCTTCCTCATTTCTAGTTAGAAGTTTTTGTTTTTTTATTAAGTTTACCAATTGTTAAAGTTGACTATGGATCTAAAATTTATTGAAACAAAAGATAAACCACTGTGGTAATAGCAATGTCCATTAATTCTGATAATCATACTTCCTCAACCTGTATTAGATCGAATTTCCATTAAAAATATCATTGAACTCGAGTTTTGGCTTTCTCTTGAATCAAAAGTTACTTGCTTCTCATATGATGCTAAGACGTATCTTTCTCACTGCCCCAATTTACTTGTCAGCAAGTAATGTGAGTGGCATAATAAGTAATGCATATTTCACATACATAGGCGACAGTTCATCGAAGATTTGTTTCTGCTGCTACAGCACAATAAAAGCGATATCTTCATTTTGTTTGTTGCTTCATTCTTAGGATTTTGTAGTATTATATGACCTTTGGCAGTGAGAAACTGATAATTATATTTCACCAATTCGGTGTAGTTGAGAGTAAAGATCAGTACTTCAGCAACAATAGGAAGTTGAAAATTTCCATGATACATTAAAACTGCACAATTTACTGTTTATATTACGCATAAAAATAAGCTTATGAGGAAAAGAGACGAGAATACAAAACGTTTTCAGAAGATGAGAAGAGAGGCTTCTTCTTACATTGCCTTCTCATCATCATAACATTTCAGAAGAACAAATCAGCAAAATCACAGCAACCTGCATTTGAGAATAACAAAATTCCACCTTGATATGAAAATTTTTCTCAGCCTCACAGATAGCATGAAACTTCACAGTGATGTGCTTTGTTTTATCCTGATGAATTGGGTTTTTAGCAATAACAGTAGATAACTAATTGTCACAAAAAAGAATACTAACACCATCTTGCTCAAAGCCAAGATCAAAAAGTAAATTTCTCAACCAAATTGCTTGATTTACAACAACAACAATAACAATGTATTCTGCTTCAGAAGTTGATTGAGCCACAACTTCTTGCTTCTTTGAACTTCAACAAATTACACTAGAACCAAGGTTGAAAACATATATGGATGTACTTTTCATATCATCCAAACTCCTTGCCCAATCACTGTCATAATATCCGGTCAACATCACACTTCCTATCTTTAAATAATTCAGCCTCTCACTTGATGTGCTCTTCACATACCTAAGGAACCTTTTAGCAACTCCCAAATGAACATTAGTAGGTGAACTAAAAAATCTTGATAACAATGTTGCAAGGAACATTAAATCAGGTCTTGTTACTGTTAAGTAAAGTAAGCTTCCAATTATGCTACTAAAATTAGAAGGATCATAGAGTTTCTCAATATCGTTATTTGACAACCTCAAACTTAAAGGCAATAGTAAATCAACTCCCTTGGAACATTCCAACTTAAATTTACGTAGAACATCTAAGGCATATTTCTGTTGTGAAATAAAGATATCAACCTTGCTTTGATTCATTTCCATCCTAAGAGAGTAGCTCAACAAGCCAAGATTAAACATCTCGAATTCTTTTTGCATACTCGATTTAAATTCTAAAATAGCTTTGTCAGTGCTTCCCATTACCAATAAATCATCAACACAGAGAAACAACAAACAAATCATCATTCTTATCTTACTTAAGATACAAAGTAGCTTCTTTAATGCTTCTTTAAAAACTCAACTTTTTCAAATACGTATTAATTCGATAATACCAGGCCCTTGGTGCTTGTTTTCAGTCTTAAAGAGTCTTCTTAAGTTTGTACACTTGATGTTCCTTTTCAGCAACCATGTAACCTTCAGGTTCAAAAACATAAAAATATTTTTCAAGCTCTCCATTCATAACGACAAATTTTACATCTAGATGGAACACATTTCCTCAGTTGACATGCAATAACAATGAGTAATCTCAATGTGTCACATTAGTTAACTCAACCTATCTGTACAAACCCCTTTACAACCAACCTAGCCTTGTTCTTGAACACAGAGCCGACGAAATTGAACTTGGTCCTATAAATCAACTTAACACCTATAAAATTCTTGTTGTCAGGTTGATCGATCAAGAACCATGTACCATTTTTCTCAATTACAAAAATTTCTACTTTCATTGCATCAATCCATTCAGGTCCCTTTTCAACTTCAATAAGACTTGTTGGTTCAACAAAGATAAAATTTCACATCTCCTACACATCTACTAAGGATTTAGTTTTGATAACTTAAACTTCATTTGTATCTGTTGTATAGAACTCATCACTAGTTACATGATTCTCAATATTATCAATTATAATAACCTCGTCAGCCATTGATATACTATCATGCTTCTGCACATTATTCTTCTCCAATTCCAATAAGAACCTTAATCAAAAGTGACATTTTTACTCACCACGATCTTCTTGCTATACAAATTAAAGATTTTATACCGCTTGGATTGGGAAGAATAACTTATAAAAATTCCTTTCCAAGTCCTTTTATCTTACTTGGGTCTCATATTAGCATGTATATGATCGAAACATAGTGAACTGAACACTTTAAGGTGTTTCAAAGATGGCTTAAACCTAGACCAGGCTTCAAGAGGAGTTTTCTCATCCACATCCTTAGTTACTAACCTGTTTAAAAAAATACATAGGCATAGTGACAGCTTCTACCCGAAATGATTTTAGAAGATGTTCTTTAAACAACATACATCTTGACATATCCAGAACAATTCTATTCTTCATTTTGGAAACCCTATTCTATTAAAGAGTGTGAGGAATAGTGAGCTGATATGAATCCCAATGTCTCTACAAAAATCATTGAACTTCTTGAACACGTACTCTCCACCATCTTTCTGTTCTTAAAACATTCAACCTAAAATCACTTTGATTTTCAATAGATTTCTTGAATTCTTTGAACGTTGACAATACATTCAGGTAAGATTCAAGAAATATACTCAGCACATCCTTGTTATATCACATATTAAAAACATACAATACTTGATGTCATTCACAGAAGAAGTCTTTATTGGACCACACAACTTAGAGTGAACTAACACTAGGGTCCATTTGGTTGGGTGAAAACATTTTACGGAAAATATTTTTCCCGTTATCATGTGTTTGGTTCCCGTAAAACAAGAGGGTCAATGGACTTTGTTTTACGGTCAACGGAAATCTCAAAGTAAAACACGGTAAAATGACTTACCGTTTGGAAAAGGGTAAGTCATTTTCCCATCCCTTGCTCCACACCGAAAAATCGAGCGATCCAGTGACCTCCTTCTCACCAACGAGGCGGACATTCGTCTTCTCAGGTGTCTTTCATTTCATCTTCTCCATTTTCATCTTCCTTGACCTCTTTATTAATAGATGTTTCTTTATTTTCTCCGTTCAACGTTCGCTGTTTCACACTCATGTATATCACCCATATCACTTCCAAATAAATCCCTAATTCCCCTCTTTCTCTTTATTCCTTCTTTATATAGACAATTATTGGTTATGTACTTTTAGAAAATTAGAGTTTAGTTTTTCTTTCCTTTTTGTTGTTGTATATAATTTAGTCTAAGGATTTTATGTTTTTCCCTCATTGTACATTCCGGCTCTGTAATTCTTGGACTCATATTTATTATTGTACTGGTTCAGTTTTTTATTTATTGATTTCATTGAGATGGAATTACGAGTCCTTAAAGATTTAGGGTTTTTGATTTATTTGTACTTTGTTAATCATTTAATATGGAGAATCCGCGTAGGTCGTTTGATAAATCAAGAGGACCCCGTTTGAAAAAAACCGCATTTAACGGAATATTGGGAGAGATTACATTAAACATTTGCTGCCAGATTGGGTTTCATTATTTTTCTTTTGATTCCATCATTACTGAATGGGACATATGGCAAAATTTCTTGTAGTATGCTTATGTTTGAATGATTATTACTTGAAAAACTGCAGAAGACTTTGTTCTCAATGAAAACACTATACGCTTTGACAAATATGCACATCCAGTTGCCACCTTTATGTGCTTAGGATCTTAAACTCTTCCAAATGCTGAAATCTTCTTTGTATGTTAATTTTTTGTTTGTATAGAATGAAGTTGATACTCATGTATCAAGTGTATGATCCATATCATTTTGAATGCTAGATTTAGGTGTTCTGCAAAGTATATAGACAAGTTGATCCTCCTGTGCATCAAAGTATACATAATTTTTTAGAACATGGAAAGGGGTATTCCCATGATAAATAGTTCATCTTCAGGAACGACAACATCAAGACCCGATCTACTTTCACAGCGTCCACCGCATAGCATTCATGTAAATCCAAAGTATCTAGAAAGGCAGTGACTTCAACAATCTAGCAGGGTAAATTCTATAATCATCTTGTCCTCTATTTTGTTAAAGATTCATTCAAGTGCTTTTCAGTATATTTCTGAAGCATTTATTGAAGTTGGAGATTGCTTATGTTTATAAAGCTAGCACTTTAAATACTTTTACTCCCGTATTTTCTTCACCTTGTTTGTTAAAGATTCATATCCGAAATTTTGAGATTCCCACTATCATTCATTTCTAGTCCTTTGTGGAATCATATCAATGCCACTGTTGCCAATTCTTTTTGTCCTTGTGACCTTGTCTTGATTTTAACTTCCTTAATTTCTCTCAGCTATATATGATAGATTTAATGCCTTCATTATACGGGATTTTCTATTGATTTGTTTTTGTGTGATGAAGGCAAAAGGTATGGTCAATGACATGACTGGAACTCTGGCCAACTCAAAGGAGGATTATGAGAGGCCAGATAAAGTAGCCATTACAGTTGGACAACCATATTGGAGATCCTTCTGTTAAAATGAATGTATGTGAGGTGTTTTAAAGTTTGTTTTAATCTGTTTATTACTTTTTCACTTTCTTATTCTATTTTGAAGTTGTCAGAAAATCCGATGTTATCATAGAGATGCATTTAACTATGATGTTTGTGTTGAGAAATAAATATTAGCCCACACCCAACTTAATTTGATGCCATTGCATACATCAATTTAGTTAGGTGAAGTTGTCATTGCTTATCTCAAATTAATGGAATAGGCG